CCTAAGGCATCTATTACAATCGTTACAGATAGTTATTTTGTAACCGAAATAGCATTATAGATCGATAAGAAAAAAGCAAAGGCTCATTTGGGTCAATCAATAAGACACGGCATCGCTTCACGTTCAATTGCTTAACACGCGACTTGATTTAAAAGTTTTTACGATTCATTTCATTAATACGAAGTTGACATCAGAAGTGATGCGGGGATTTGTTTCCGTCCAATATACGTCACAAGTCGAACTTCCGGATCAGTTGATCCGGAAGAGTTTGATGGTAGGTTAAAATTTACTTTTAAGCTATCTGATTTTTCCAATTTTTTACACTATATCTATTACTTGTTTTCATATCTTTTTAAAATGCATTGAAATTTTGAGAACCTAACCTACCTAACATTTTTGTGGGATACAGTTATATTTTGTTTCATTGTAATATAAAAAAAATCAGTAATAGACAGAGCGATAAACGAGCAAGGTTTGTGTACATATAAATTTATAAATATTTTGTATATATATTTTAAAGAGGCCTCTAAAAAAGTCCGAGATAGCATGTTTCTATCTCCTAAGGTACCTATGGACGAACCCGAGCGAAGCAAGGGTAAGTAGCTAATATATAATAATATTTTTTAAAACAATGTATTGTTTAAGAATTTAGAAGGACTGTATATTTTAAAAAGAAATTTCATTATACATTTTACAGGTAGGCGTTTTCCTACGCCGCACGAGCAAGAAAAGTAATTTATTACGCGACACCGCAGCCTGGCAAAACGGCGAGGCGGCGGAAAACGGAATATTCAGTGAACAAACTCCCTTCCACCTCCGCAATAAAACCGCAGGTTATCCAACATTTAAAATAAAGCCAATCTCTCAGAACTCAGAATGGATAATGAAAATTTTAGGTATTGTTTTCTGAAGGTTTCCCGGAAACCTTCAAAAAGTGGTATTACGGATATAAAAAAGTTTGTTCTATCGCTGCATTTTTAACTGTAAGGTACCTAAACATCATTGAGAGATTAAGTCTAATAATTCATAAACTTTTCAGTTGCAGCAGCAGATTGTAGCTTAGTAACAGAGTAAATATTTATATAAAATGCTATAGCAGAATTTAACACCTCCAGGTAAATTTCTAAGAAATCTATTATTAACTGTAACGCCGGCGTGTACGCGGTCGTGGAGGGATTAAAGAATAAAAAATAGTGTTCGTAATATAGTTACCTATCTATAACATTATAATGTAAAAACGTCTATTTTTACGTAACAATATATGTTATTGGTTACGTACTAATGTATGAATATCGTAAATTAGTTTTTGTCAACGTTTCCCCTCCTGTTGTAACTTGTAGGTGCGTCGATAAAAGAATTTCGCTGTATTTTCCCGGAATATTAATCTTCAGTCCGAATTCGTGTATAATGTACCTATATCTATACATATAATAAAATTGTAACCAAGCCGAATCTGTACATTCCAATATATTTTGGAAAACCTTATTGAAATAAACTTTATTATCGATACAGAGGCCGAATCTATAGTTTTTAGAATTTTTGTCTGTCTGTCTGTCTGTTACCGCATCACAAAAAAACCACTGGAGATTTTGATGAAACATGATGATAGCTGGTTATCTGCGTCAACATATAAGATACTTTTTACTGCAAGAGAAATCTCATTTCTGAGAAATCTATACTAAACGTTAAAACGTAAATAGGGACGAACCCGAGCGGAGCGAGGGTGAGTCGCTAGTTATAAATATACGTATTATAAGAAGCACTTAGAACTATATACTTAATATACTCGTATAAAATATAATTTTGGTAAACACTTCATTACGGATGCGCACGCGCACTTCGCACGCGTCGTTTGCGTAAATCGTCGAGGCAAAAAGCTAATCAGAGCGTTTCGGCTATCTGAATAGTTTTGAACGCTAATTTTACCAAGTATCCGATTTCGTTAACTTTATATTAAATTAATTAAAATATTTTAGAAATACTTCGGTTAATCACTATAATTTTATATTTGTATTTTTATAAAAAAAAATATTGACAAACTATTCAGTGTTTAATAAAACCAAATTATTATTTTTCTTTGACTTATTTTTCATTATGCTCATCCATTGCATACAGAAAACAAAATTGGACAACGGTAAAATATAAAATCTATTGATACATTTAAGAAAAATATAATGAACCACATACCATTCAAAGATCTGATTTAGTTACACTACTGTGTGATAGTTACTTATTTATATTTAAATTTTACTAATATTAATTAAAGTCTGTTCTCTTTTGGGAAATAAATGTCTTTAGAGAAAAATTAACCATAGGGTACGTATTGATTTTATAAAATTCATAAAAAATTGTACTTATTATTCCATAATACATACAACGTTGGTCTTGTCTAGTATGTATAGAAGCATTTGCACCTGAGGTGCTAAGTTTGGATCTCGGATGTACTCAAGTGTAAACCAAGTGTAATCACTGTTTTTTTGTATCAAGAAATTGTCAGCAGCAAGTCCCAGTAAGAATGTTAGTCTAAGCACGTAAAATCGTCAGTCCCGCGCCAGATTTCTCACTGGTGATGTAGGATTGCCATTGCACCAAACTATAGACTGATAGGCACACATACTGCACGTATTTGTGATACTTAAAATATTTCATGCGCAGATGGTTAGTTTAAATACAAGTGGACGCCTAGACAGAAATTAAAGTTTCATATATATATCGTACTCTCTATAAAAATGAAAATTAATCTATCCCACGGGATATAAAAATTAGCCTAGGTGCTATTCTAGACTATAATCTATCTCTGTGCGAAATTTCATCCAGATCCGTTCGGCCATTCTGGCGTGATCGAATAACAAACATAAACTTTCACATTTATAGTACATAATAATTAGTAAGATTTGTAAATTTAATTACATAAGTCTTTAAAATAAAAACTATATCACGTGACCAACGTTATTAGATTGAAAATATGAATTTTCTTATCTTTAATTAAAAACTTATACTAGCCAAATAGGTACAAAATGTATATTATTAAAAAAAGAACTACATATTCATATAGTTTTTTAACATATCTAAGCAAATAAAAATACCTAGAAATGCCATGATTCGGGCTCCTGAGACTAGCAAAAAGTTCGGAAACGTATTCCTTAATCAGTACGCTCTCTGCCTACTTATAGGTAATTTATATATTATATACCAATTATTTTATATTTTATCCTTTTTATCATGAACTTCTGATAGAAAATTTACAGACTTAGTAACTTCATCCTTCTGCAGGCAAAGTAGAGATGAATCGAATTTATTCAAGCACTAGCGGCTCACCCTCGCTTCGCTCGGGTTCGCCTCTGGAAAAACACTAATAGAGACCTATTAGTTCCCACGGGAACCGTTCATTTTTCCGGAATGAAAAGTAACCTGTTATTTGACCGGCAATATAAGGTAAGTATCAGAATGTTAAATTTTACTAAATTAGATGCATAAATTGTTGTGTACTAAGCTGTATAAGATACTACAGTTTTTTAACTATCCCACGGGAACTGTTTAATTTTCCGGGATAAAAAGTATCTAAGATGTTGCCCTGGGATATAAGGTACCACATTGCAAAATTTCATTTAAATCAGTCCAATAGATTCGGAGATTAGCCCGTACAAACAGACAAACAGACAGAGAAACAAAAAATTTGAAAAAAATCTGGATTTGTTCTATTTGTCTTCTTACATCCCTTGACTCGGTTTTTAACATTTTTTTGCTATGTACAGACTATTTACTTTAATGTCTTTTGAAAACTTGCTAGGTTCTCTTAGACGTGCTGGTTTCCTCACGATGTTTTCTTTCACCGTTAAGACAAGTGGTAATCATGTTGGAAATGATTCGCACATGAAAATATCAGAGGTGCGAGACCCGGGATTTGAACTCGCTTCACTCGGTTTCCTAAGCGAGCGCGTTATCACTGGGCTACCACTGCCTTACAAGTATTTATCTTGTAAAAGCACATTTATTGTTAAGCACAATTATTTATCTTGTAAAAGAACGCCCTTATTTGCGGATACAAACCGAACGTTCCAAATAGGCTTTAATAGCCTTGTTTAAGAGCACTGGTTCTTCCTCTATTCTTTATTTAATGTTCATTTTATCTAGGACAAGGATGCAATGAGGTCAACCCAGTAATTGATCACTACTAAGTAATCATAGATAAACAAATGAAAATTTTTTTACTCTACATAGCTAGCGAATTAAAATTAACTTCCTAATCACATCCATACTAATAGTATAAATGTGTGTGTTTGTTTGTTTGTTTGTCTGTCCTTCTTTCACGTCGAAACAGAGTGACGGATTGGCGTGTTTTTTTGTGTGGAGATAGTTGGAGGGCTGGAGAGTGTCATAGGCTACTTTTTCCCTCGGGAAAACACATTATAATAAGTAATTCTGATCATTAAAAAAATATATTTATGATCAGAATTACTTGAAACTTGGTATTAATACTTTTTAAAAAAATTAAATAAATACGGGTTTTAGCATTTTTCGAAATTCATGCTATAAGGGGATGAAAGTTTGTATGAAACTACCTAACCTACACTAAACTATGTATATTTTTAGAGATTTTTTTGTAGTTGTAGCGCGAGCGAAGCCACGAGCTCTGCTAGTATTATTATAATGGTTAGAAATTCATTTCATCTAGTCTTCATTATTTGAATTAAAGCTAACCAAATTTTCAAAAATCATCAGACTATCTATTGTCATTTTCTTACAGATACGAAATCGAAAAACTAAGTTGAACGGCCAACGGTCTCGAATCTATGTAGTAACAATCTGCAGTCTAGTTTCATATAATTTTCAAGACCTAAATATCTTTTGCTTACAAAATTAGCAATTGAAGATGTTAGCGTGCAGTTAATTCTTTTGAAGCACTTAACTTCGCACATAATTCTGCACGAGTTTAACATTCAAATCTAATAAAGAATATTATTGAATATAATTTTGCGCTAGTCTAGGTCTATCCATACCTTTCTTTGTCGTGGGTCGACTGCGGATATTGAAGGACGGTCTGTTGTCCTTCCATTTCGACCACACATTGTGTCCCTAATTCGATTTCTGAAACAAAAACATTATTGTTTTAGGCGTAAATGTAAAATTTTACAAAAAAAAAAGTTCATAATTTCTTTAAAAATATTAATAAATAATAATTAAAAAAATAATAATTCAACAGTTTTGTAGGTTAGTAATCTTAATTATATGTCTACAATCTATATATAAGTAGTTGTTCAATGTTAAAAATAATAAAAACGAATAGTAAAAATAAAAATGAAAGAGTGCGTGTATCTATGTGTACACACGCAAGAAGTAAAACCTCTGTAGGTTATGGGTACTTTTTATGAAATTCAATGTATGTGTTTAATAATTAGGATATGAGAGATATTAAAAAAAAACATTTTTTATTGATTCGAAAAGGAAAGCAATATTTTATTATTCACATAGTACAGATTAAGATAAAATTTAATTTTCAATAAAGTAACGATTCAATAAATTATATACTTCAATAAAATAAATAATAATACAGGGATGTAAACTATTTAGTAAAAAAATATATATTTCCTACGTATAAAAAAACATTTCAAGTACCTAAATATTTTTTTAACAATATGCATTTGACATGATTCCATCGCTCATTTAAAAATAAATTATTTTTTATAAATTTCTATTTTTATTTCATTTATCATTTGAAATATTCATATACTTAATACTTTAAAAAAGAAATTTCATTTCCGTAACGTAACTTCTGAACGTAACCCTTTCCGTTACAAAAATCGTAACGCCAATCCTTTTTTTTCCCTGTCATGGCACGCCTAAAAAAGAATAATACATATTTTAGGTATTTGTAAGGATAATGAGAGAAAAAAACCAGTTTTCGCTCAGCGCGACATTGTATGTCATTATGTCATTATCACGAACTCGCCAACGGCCAAACCCTGACGACAACATCGATGATGTAACGTACTAATACAAAGAATATTTCCGTGAATGTAAACTCAATCAAACTCTTGTCTCTCAAGCTCCATATTTTATCATTAATATGCCATTATATTTCAACCATGTCACATTTTTAATTAATAGGAATGCCTTATTGTTTTAAAAAAGTTAATTTATAAATAACTACCAAATTACGTTGCGTCCGGCACGTTTTGTATAGAAAATGATAGTTATTGTGAGGAGACACATGCTTTCGCGCACTTTTCTGTAGGCCTTTTTAAGACGTATAATTTTCTAGTGCATTGTTTTTATATATGTATTTTTAAAGATTTAGCCAGCGATAGCCGTTTCGCTAAGAGCAATTAATAAATTTAAATGTTTGATATCTTTTAAGGTTTAAACGTATTTAACGTTTTTATTTATATAAGGATTAATACTGTATTGTTTAAAATAGCTTCATAAGGACCCATTATTTTTTAGTTTTGGTTACTGTGGGTTATACTTAGGATATAGACATAACCATCGCGTGCTTTTCTCTAGACTTTTTTTAAGACATACATTTCCGAACATTATTTTGATACATCTCGTAATATTTAACCAGCGTTAGCAATGTAAGCGCCCAAAAATATGTTTTTTACGACATAATTAGGTACAAAATCTTTGAAATTCTCGGCTTTACTATACTATAATGTACTATACATATAAACTTTTAAGAAGAAAATATTTTCATGATAGTAAAACCGTATCAAAATCCGTTGGATGGTTTAGAAGATGTTACCACAGAAACTGACATCTGAGTTGTTATCGGTGATAAGCGACTGTCAATGTCAGTTGCTTACGTCTACATTTACACTACAACAAATAAACAAGCAAATGTGTAAAACTTTGCGAGTGAGTCAAGGCGAGATCGGTGCGCGTCCGCGATTCTTTCAAATCCGGTTTGCTAGGTTAGACTATTGTACTAAATTAGCCAAATGCATAACGGAACGTTTCGTCTTACATTTCTATCTACTTACTGACCAAATTTAGATTAAAATTAAACTCTACCATATCCAAAAGTTACTTTATATTTTTATGTTGACTAAGGTGGGACACCCACATCATGGTAAAAAATGTTATCTAAAGGTGTGCTCTGCACCTACCCAACTATCATTTGTATTAATCAGATGTATGTATGTATTATGATAAAAAAGTATGACCTTGGAAAAGCAATTTCTGTATTTACTGTCAAATGCACAACAATACCTTTGTTTATTAGATTCCTAACAATACATTCCGCTCTAACATGATGAGGATTCATATTAAACCAACCTACAGAGATCAAACTTGCAATTTGCAACATTAGTATTAAATGATCAGACAATCTTTTCAATGTAAATAAAAAATATTATTATGTATTTACACTGTTTTTAATGGAACTGTTTTGATTTCTTGTTATTTAGAAACAATATTTGCCAATATTACTATATTTACAATTCATGGGATATTATGTTAAATATGTAGTACTCTTTCAGACATTCTTGCTTTTTATAATATGTAATTCACTTCTCAATTCACATCTCAGTTGTTGATCATTTATTGCTATATACCGTGGTATTAATACTCCTAAACCTTCTAGAAACATTTACTACAAATTTCTAATGCAACATTGGAATCAATAAATTGTGCTTGGCAATGGTTTTATTAAACTTTTCTACACTTATAAAATTAACATACAAAGTATATATGTATGTTATCACATAGCCTTGATAAGGAAGTCTCACAAGTGCAATAAAATAGTTTTACAGAACTAAATATTTAACATTTATTGTTTACTATTTGATTAGTTTTAATACTGCATTTTAAAATAAATTTAAATAAGCAATAATAAAATGCATGTTGAATAGTCTTAGAAAATAACTGTTAATATACTTTTGTACGTGAAAATATAATAATATTGTTTTGAAATATAATTTAGAAGTTTAAATAAGTATTAACCCATTATTAGTTATGGTTTACAATAGCTTTTATGTTCCTTTAAAAACCACCTGGTCGGATCTCACACAAAATAAAAATGAATACACCTGCCACAAACTATATTGAACACCTTTAAAGTTTGTTTTTTGTAATTTCTATAAATGATAAAGTAAAAATTCCAAGCTAATCATCTTTACAAATGCAACACCTGTATTTGTTTTTGAAAGTTTTTAAACAGTTCAGTTGAAAAATAACAAAGTAACTTGTTTATTTTTGAAAAGTAATAAATAAAGAAACGATTAACTATTAATGTCTAAAAGTAACAAAATATTTATAAAGTTCAGGGAGAACATACTTTTAACTTATTTTTTAAATAAGTTTTAATGTATACTGCTTTACTGATGATAATTTTGCATCAATTTATTCTCGCTTTCTACATGTTTACTTATTTAAAACCGATTTGAAGTTTTATTTTTGTTATTAAATAAAGCTATTCTTGTTTTATAGATATGATCCAAACAAATTTTATTTCAATTTATTACAATAACGTATTACGTTATCGATACAAAATCTAATAAAATTAGTTACATATATCCTTATATATAACTTTACTGAATAATCATTTTTATCGGAAACCCGTTCGGTACGCAGATAAACTCAAGCATACGTAGTCACCTGTAAGATTGCGAATTTCTTTATTTATTACCAGTATGAAACCAGCTTACCTCGCCTGTTAAAAGGACGAACCCGAACTGCTACTTTAATCTTATCCGAGGCCATATTCACACTTAAATTGCACAAATATATTTAAAACACAACACTTTTCACAACAAAGTCTAATAGATTATTGCACATATTCACCCATATTCTAAAATAACAAAATTCATTATTTCACGTTATATTCACGACGTTCCCAAGATGACACTGCCCGCCATATTGTTTTTACACGGCCATAGTGCTTGACTCTTATGTTGCCTGAAGAAATCGGTATAGTTTAGCTTTGATTAACCGATATCAAAAATGTAAAGAATTTTTAATGGTTTGATTTATAAACATCTACAATAATAACTAAAACAAAAAGTAATTAATTTTAAATATTTGACCATTCGAAATGAACATAAGGTTTTAATGATATAATGTTACGTTTTAAAAATATCGCTGTAAAACTAAAAACCTTTTTGATCATAATAATATATCGAGAAACTAGGGATACTGGCACTTTAATAAGAATTCTATATTCTTAGTTCATTTCAACGACTTTAATCAATAGAAGTGTGCTGCCGCAATATGGGTACATATTATGTATCGTTTATTTATTTGTTACCATTCTATCATCTCGTATCAATTAATATGATCTGAAAAAGTATCTGAAACCCCAATCATTACCAATATATTAACTTCCGTCATGCACTGCTTTCTAAGAGTGAGTATGGATAAGAACAAATCTAGCTGTATAAGTCTATGGTTCATTTAGGTGCATTTTTTTATACTTATATGGAAAAATATTTAAGATAACTTTCTCTATACGTTCAATGTAAAATTGTCTAGAAGGCTTTCTACTAAAAAGTTTTTGGCACAACAGTAGATAATAAAAAATCATTTAAGCGAATTTCATTACATATTTGACAGCATGTAGCAATTTATTCTTTGCAGCATGCTATATTATGGACCAAGTATATATCTATACTCTTTGTTATGGACGCTCCACAGATGAGGGCACGCTCTAGAAATCTGAATGTCAAATGGTCAAAAGTTTACCGTGACAACTGAGTACTGACAATGTAATTGATTTGTCATCGGCATGACATGCTAAAATTGTCATTTTTCACGTAAATAAATAGAAGTTTTGCAGATATATTTTCTCTTATTCAATTTTATGGTAATTCTTGTATAATATTATTGCAAAAATAGGTAAAGCATTACAAGAAACATAACCGGTAAGACATTGCTTTGTTGTGATACAGTGACTTAATATATCTTCAAAAATATTTTCTAGTGAAAACAAAAATACACTTTTTTTGTTTTTAGGTAATAAGTATAATATTACTATCAATAAAATATAAAAAATATAGCTAAATATGGCATCTGATCCTTTATTTGGATGGGACCTTACTTTTAAGACAGTGGAAAAAGATGTCAAACAAAAAACCGATGTAATTGTAGCTTTTATTCATTGGAATTTAATAAAAAGAGGTTTCCGCAACGTTGGAATTGGAGATGAGGTATATTGTGTACGCTTTGCTAATAATGAAAATGCTATGTTGTTGTTAATTAATTATTTTGATCATATTTTTATATAAAATTTTCTTATTGATATGCTTCTATTTTTAAATGTTATAATTTACCTTATAATTTTTCAGAGAACACTTTCAGGGGATGAAACAAAGAGTGAATTATTACCCTCAAATTGGAATGATAAAGAAACTTATGCATTGCGCTATATATTAGATGAGAAATTGTATATTTTGCATGGGCTTATTACTGATGGAACCTTAATAGTAAACCTTATGGTAATAGCAATATATTATTTAAAATAGCTAGCTTTGGGCTTCCATAGCTAAAAGGTACAAATAGAACTCAATTTTTATCATGTCTCTAGCATGTTTCTATCCATAGTCCATAAAGCATTGGTGTTTTAGAAATTATTACTTTTACAACACATGTAATTGTTTAATAATTCTACTTATAACAGGAAACGTTTTAATATAACACAATGATAATGTGCAGTTTATTTTTCATAAAATCCTTTTATTATCATTAAAAAAATGGGTATAATATTTAGCACAATATGGCATCTGCCATGCATAAAATGACTTATACAATATGAATATGCCCTTTTAAAATGAAAGGCTTAGAATCTGTTTCTTAATACCATAATCTTTCCCCTACACTGTGGATATCAACACATTTTTATTTCAACTTTCTTATTATTATTCTGCCATTGTTGTTGTCAAGTTGTCAGTTTAAATTAAAAAATATAATTAGGAAGTTTTATATTAAGAATTAACTTTTTCTTTAAAATTTTCATTTACCTTCCTTCTAATGAAGTGAATTTTACTGTAATGTCTGTACCATAAAAAATAATCCTGCTGTACAATGCTGTAGTTTCAAAAATGCTTGATTGTGGCACATGCAGTGTAAAGTGTAAAAAAAATTCAGTACATATAATTAAAAAAAATTTAAGGTACCTAAAAAATTATATGCCTTGAAAGGTTTTTTATAAACTTAAGTTCTAATAATCTCTCTTAAAATTGTCCGCAGCTAAAATTTATTAATAATATATGTCGATGCATGAAAATCAAATTACTATGATAAATGTGAAAGTTTGTGTGTATGTTTGTTACTATTTCACACTGAAATGGCTGAATTGATTTGGGTGAAATTTAGAACACAAACTATGACCTGAAGCATTTGTATGGTACTTAGACATACACCTGAGCAAAGCGAGGATATGTTTCTAGTTATTTATCATTATAAAAAGAAATTAATTTGTTATTACATATTGATATAATTTAATGAAATACTAATCAGTTTATTTATACAGAGGTCTGAAGATCTGGCAGTATCAAATATAGCAGTAAAAGTTGAAGATACAGTTAATGAAATTAGTGGTTCTATTGAGAAATTGCTGCCAAATTATAAGGATTTAATGTATAATATCAAGAGAGACTTAATAGATTCAATCACTGACAGGCCAACAAATAGTGCGCAGACACAAACTGCTGAAAGAAGTTAGTAAATATTTTTATAATAAAAAAAAAGTTATTGTAAAACATATTTATTAAGATGAATATATACACACTATATGATTAGAGATGAACCGACTAGTGGCCGACTAGCCAGGAAAGCCGACTATCCGACCATATTTATAGTCGGCGATTAGTCGGCCCATTACTTTATTCATATTACTATTCTTAAAAAAAGGGGGATTATGATTTAATGATGTTTTTTTAATAAACTTCATTTCGTTATTTTGTGGGTTCTGGGTTAAGCACTGTCTGTAACAACTATATAATGCCTTTGAGACGTTTACAATCTTAGTCCCTTCCGTGACCATGATTGCTGTAAGCCATTCAAAACGTCGGGAACCAAAAATTAAAATAAATCCGCGAAAAAACACGAAAAGATACTTTTATTTAAAACTAGCGACTTACTCTCGCTTCACTCGGGTGCATCCCTAGGTACGATTTTGTTTACAATTTCATGGGTTTGAATTTTTTGTGCTGAACCCTGATTCTTTTTCTAAAGTAAAAGTAGTCCAAGTTACTCCTTATAACATCAGCTATCTGCCAGTGAATGTCCGTCATAATCAGTCCAGCCGTTTTTTAGAGATTAGCCGGAACAAACAAACATACAGACTTTAAAAATTGTTTTATTTTTAGTAATAGACTCTGTATAAAAGGAACAAAAATCCGTAAAATGCCCCCGATTTCCAGCTACCTCCGAGAAATAGTTTTTTTTACAATTTTTAGCTTACTATGACTTCCTATCGAAAAATATCCTGTTCAAAAGTTGTAGGTCTAGTAAAAATCTACAACTTTTATTGATAATACTTTTTACAATAACCTCAAACTTTTCAAGATATTGCAAAATCCCATTTTTTTTATTTTTATTGTTTTTTAGTTTGTAATTTATGCAATATAATAGCTTTTATTGACTTTTGTATTGTTAATTATATGATAATTTTTCTTCTCTGCAGATAATCCCCATAACAATTACAGAGACGACCCACTGAGAGTACCACCTCGACCACGGCCTGAAATCAATCCTGAGAATCCTAATTTATGGTTAGTGTACCATAACTTTATGATTAGAAAACTAAAATAAGGCTACTTATTTATGAATAAAATAACATAAATATACTTGTGTATGCTTATGCAATAAAAATTAATGGATGCTACACTGTTAGATTATGAATGTAAAATCTAATTTCTAATACTTATAGAAATGGACACAATTACATATTATAATTTTTCTTTTTGTGAAGTGTCTTTCTTCATTTTGTTCTGTCATGCATGATACAGATAAAGCATGTCTATATTAAAACACTGCTGAGTATAAATGTTCAATATATGAAAATATTTGTATCATGAATTATAATTAAAGAATTCCAAGTTGTTAAAATTGGGGCTTCTGTTTAATATTAAATGTATAATATTAAGACAGATTCAACGGATTCAGTGACCAGTCAACAATTAGTGCACAGACACAAATTGTTGAAAGTAGATATTTTTGATGACATGTTTGGTCACAGTGGCATTCATTTGTATGTTGAGCATAAATGTTGCAATGTTTGTACTCCAGTCATGGGTGTTTATATATTTTATAATATGTACATAATATGTATTTAAAGATACATAGTGTATCAACTATCTGGTATCCATAACACACAATGCCTCATAGCTTACCATGGAACTAGATGGTGCTTTGTGTTAATATCCCAACATATTTATTCATTTATTCATTAAACAACAACATAATTAATAATAAATATTTTAGGGAGCTACCTCCTCCGAATCTTCGTAATGTAGGACGTTCAGATTTAGACCCATTTGCGCCCCCTGGTGGTGGCATGCTGTTTAACCCATTCAATCCAGGCAGAGATATTGAAAACCCAGGATTGGGCGTTCCTGGTGGACTACCAAGGTATGAAAAATATTGTTTTATATTTCTGAATTATCCTGTAGTTTATTTCATTTTTTATTACAAGATTCTATACAATTATATAACAAATGCCTTGTACAATTTTTATTCTTATTTTCCACTTCATTGTCGACTTTTGATTTAATTTAACGAGGGCAACAATTTGATTGAACATTGATCAGATCGAACTTGAAACCATTGTAAAACAATGGGATTTCTATGTATCGGAATTTGTACAATGCGGGTTGGGCCTGGTACTTTTCTAATATTAAAGTGGACCGTGATAGCAACCCATTGGTTGCTTGCTCGTTTAAAATTATCTCTAATACCAAGGTCTGGCAAATTCAACAGTAGTACTTGCTTTTTTAGTCAGTGAGTCTTCATATAACCACCTGAATGTATGCAGGTGGTATTCCGAAATCCCTTTCCAAACTTAACCAAAAAAATCCTGTATAAAACAAGCAATCACCAATTTTGGTTAATATTGTTTTGCAAATCATAATAATTATTAGGACTATTTTCTTATGTATAAAAATGATATCAATTACATATTTGCAGAGGAGCAGTGCCACCCGGAGCGCGTTTTGATCCTTTTGGCCCACCTGGTGTTGGTCCACTTCCAGGACGTCGTCCTCCACCCCCAGACGCTGATCATTTTCCACCCCCTGGATTCAATGACAACATGTTTCTTTAATATGTAGCTTATTAAAATGTTTGTAATCGTTAAATAAATAATAGAGATATATGTATGTATATTGTGTTTTATATCAATAAACTTATATATTCCTAATTAGGTTCATTTGATTTTGTTCCTCCTATGACAATGATAGCAGAATTGGTCATGTATGAGCTAAATTTTTATATTTGACATATTATATCAGTATATTTAGAATAATGTTTTTTTTATTGAAATTACTGAATGGATTTTGATGAAACTTTACATTGATATAAATTATATACATCAGAGTAACAAACAGGATATAATTATATATTAAAAGTGTTTTTGTAGATATACTTCTTTTGAGACGTTTAGAAAAAATATGAGAGTAAAATTTTTGCCAAAAAAATTAATTTTAAAAATTAATTATAATTTTGACAGCCTAAAAGCGACACGATAAAGTTAGCTGTTAACTTTTTGTTGCCATAGTAACTATTGTTATTGGCTAACAAATGATATACATATAATATTATATTCTTTCCTTAAACGATATTCTATAAATATGATGATTGTAATACGCCTTATTTAATTATTTTATTAACTTATCATTCCTTTTACAAACAGAGTTGTGACATACACGCACACTTTTTTTTACTCAACCCTTTATATGACCTACTTTTGGGTACGAGCCTCCTTGCAATACCAGGAGGATTCTTGCAATATCATCGTCTACCACGCTGGCCTAGTACAGGTTGGCGAACTTCACATGTCTTTCGAAAATTTTCCTAAGTTCTTATTTCTCTTAGACATGCAGGTTTCCTCACAATGTTTTCCTTCACCGTACGGTAAATGGTAATCATGTTAGAAATGAAATGAATTGAAAATATCAGAAGTATGAGAATCGGGATTTGAACCCGCTTCACTCGGTTTCCCAAGCGTGCGCGCACTACTGGGCTAGCACTGCGAAATACATACAGTTAATGAGATGAGGGTTACAGCGCTTGAATTCGCCGCAAGGGGAGCTAGTGTAGAGTGAGATCTCTATAACTGTCGGTAGAGGATGGAGAAGATTTCTCGAAAAGAGGGCGCCACACGTATTGTTTATTTACACTCAGTCAGAGGTTAAGCAATTTATTGTGATATCTCTTTTATACCTGATTTTTCGCTTCTATTGTATTCGCATCTTACCTATGCAATGTATTATACCTGGAAATTAGACCACCTGAAGGAAGAATTGAGAAGGAGAGATGCATCATGTGGTGGACCTATCTGATTGATGGATCAAAACACAGTGTAAGCCGCTGGTCTTAGAAACATGAAATTTGAAGGTCGTATTTCTTATATGATGTAGGCATCCGATAAAAAAGAATTTTTCGAAATTCACCCCCTAAGTAGGTAAAATGGGGGATGAAAGTTTGTATGAAACTGTGTAATAATTATCATGTTAAAAAGTACAAAAAATAAGAAAAATATGCACCTGTAGACGATTTAAGAGTTTTAAAATTACCTTCTGCAAAATGATGTTCACATTGCCTTAAATTATGATTTCAAAAATTTAGGTCATATTATTGTTTTAGCCAACAATTTCTTCAGTTTTTGTCTTTTGGGAACAAATGATATTAATTTTCTTTACATAATGGCACTGCACAATTTGTCATTTTATTTAAATTGAAAATATTTCCATCCACGCTGTAAAGTTTTACAATATACTGAAGGCACAAACTATAGAGAGATGCTACGCACTGAAGGTGAGGTCTGAGGGTTATAGTTATCGAGACATCTAGCGGGATGAAATGGCAAAATTCGTGCTCATTATTGTTTTCTTAAATTTATGGCCCTGCCGAAATTATTTTTAAAGAGAGCGCTAGGATCTTATTCGCCAGTGGCGCCAGTTGGTACTACCAGAAACAATAGCCCTCTTAAAACTGAGCGTGTGAAGTCGCGGGAAAACGTTATTGTAAAAATATTTGATATGTTTAAATTTTAATCTGCGTGTCTTCACTTTTTTTCTTCTGGAATATGTACATATGTATAGGAAAAACTGCGAAATACGTTTATGAAAACATTCAATAATACTATGTAATGTCCTGATTGGCAGAACAATGGACTAAAGATTACCGGATTCATACAAATTACAATTGGACCGACCTCCGCTGTGTAGCTAAAAAAAAACTCTTCAAGAGACACTACATCAATATTAAAAAGAAACTATTTTATAATTCTTAATATTGTAATAAAAATATTCTACAGTAGAAAATAGTATAAAATTGGCGTAATCATTTAGTAACTCTACAAAATTTTCTTCGTTGGCAATATCAAATATCAGTATCACATTTTTTTTTGTGCAGTGCACACGTTTTCCGCGTGTGTAGTGAATTTATTAGCTGTTCACGGCTGAATCCGTTCAACTTTTATTCAATGTGTATGGCTGTGGAGGTAAGTAGTTATTATAAATATATTTCTTTAACAAAAAAGTATTTTTAAGTCTAAATAGCCATTTATGGAGGTTACGTCCTCCCAAGTAAGGACGTCACTGTAGAGGCGTCGTGGAATAATTATCATTTTTCTTTATATGTAGCATAGGTGGAGTTTTCCTTAGATTTCTATTAATTATTAAAATTAATGGCGTATAATTATATTCACATGGTCGTCAGTAGTCACTTTATAATGATAATTATTGATTGCACAACTTTTTCGTTTCACGAGACAAAAAATTATAAACTACTTTATCTTTCTTTTTTAAATTAATGCTTTATGAAGGATATCTAATAGATTTTGAATGTTAACATTTAACTTAATTTTTTTTTTGCAAAAAGTGCCATTTCTAGAGATGTTTGTGGGTATGCATACCTATTGTTATAAATTGATGACACATTAGAATCAAGGTTTAGATTTAATAAGGTGTTGTTGTTTTAATACCTACATGGTAGCAATGGTTAGTGATATTTTTAGAAAGGTACTGAATAGGATACTATTCAAATTACCATACATTATAAATATGTGTTATGTACAATAACATAATAATTTGGTAATAAACTGGTATGTGTTACTTTTTTGAACATAATTTTGTATTTATTATTATGTATCTTATGTTACTGGACTGCATAGGATTAATATTTTTTAGGTATTATTGCAAACAAGTCTATTCATAATAATTTCATATTCTTAATTTAAATATAATTAAAATTATAAAAAAAAATGTAAATTTTATTTGTCACTTAAAGTGTTGATTGGGTATTAAACCTCAAAAGTATAGTTTTATTAATTGAACTCAAGACCATACCATACAAGACATAAATGTCAAATTTGAAATAAAAAGTAGTCAGAACTGTTCTAAAATCTTGAAATGATCCTTGAAGTGCCAGCAAATGTTATTTGTTAAAGTGATTTTATTTTATGCTCATATTTCTATCAAATATATTAAAATTTAAAATATTTTTAATAAGCTTCTGCTTATTCATAACTAGCAGTTCATGATGATTCACCTCTCTTAAAAATTAAAAACAGATTATCCCACGGGAACCTTACATTTTTCCAGGATAAAAATTAGCCTGTGCTATTCCAGACTATAACCTATCTCTGTGCCAAATTTATCTAGAACCATTCAGCCGTTCTGGCGTGATAGAGTAACAAACATTGAAAAATCTCAACTTTCACATGTATGAATACTAGAGATGAACCCTCGCTCTGCTTGGGTTATGTTAGTCACGTTTTGTATAGATTTCTCAGAGATGAGATATTTTCCCCCAGTAAAAAGTCTTATATGTTGATCAAATTTCATCAAAATTGATCCAGTGGTTTGCATTCCCAGACAGACAAGACAGACAAAAAATCTAAAAAATATAGATGTCTCTATCGATAAAATGACTATTTCAATAAGATTTACCAAAAACATATTTGATGTACAGATTAGACAGTTAGAATTTTATTAAATGTATAGGATTATAGATTAGTAAAATTAGTTTTATAATAGATATAAGTAAGACGTAACTCAAAGCTTTACATTCAAAACATCATTTATGTAATTAGTAGTTGAGTTGTTAGAGTTCCTCACTTTACAATTTCGCAAAAAAGTATTCCTTAAGCCGATTGAATGATGACAATTGACAAGGTACAGAAGTTATAGATTTAATAAAAATTGATTGATTGATTGATTGAACAATATAAAAGTATGTTATTCTTATTCTAGAAATGACTTCATTCTTGTGAAGAAGTATTGACGTCAAACTGAATTATCTACATACCTTTACTACACATTATACGCATTTTGCTAGCTACGGCGCGATTAATGTTTTACGTGATTTGACGTCATTATTGCATTACTATTGTAGTGTAAATGAAATAGATGTGTTCTAGATATTTCTAAATTTTGTCGTGTTCCCAAACTACTTTTTTAAATTTTATACAAAAGTGATACCAGATTGGGGTTTAGGACATCGACCCGGCCTTGGCAAGCGTGTTGACCCTGCGCAGACGCTGATGTTAGTCCATTAGTAGGATCTTAAGATATTTCGCTTGATTACTCATATACATTGACTGAAATAGTATATAACATATAATGTATAAACTAATAGAAGATTAAAAGCATTTTTCAAAATCTAAAATATGTTCCTAGTTCGATATTCTATGCCATAAAAATGTGAGTAGGGAATATAATTTTGCCCGACATGGGTCAACGAGTCACTTTACTTTTATTATATTAGCAGCCTGCCTAACTGGGCTTGACGAATGCGATAGCGTCATCGGTCCCCGAATACATTTTAGGCATAGAAACAACCAATAGAGCCCCAGAAATACTTTGTAAATGATAAATTGGGATCTATGTTCTAATTAAGACAATTAGTATGAATACAATTGATGTTTTAAAAGTACCATTGTTTAGCTTAATAGTTCCATATTGGTTTATATACTCATTTTTAATTAAAAAGGTAATATTATGTAAAATAAATCTTACAGTAAATCGATCGCATGTATTACATAACAAATCGTTCATTTATATTTTTTATCTAAACATCTCGCGATAACATTGGCGC